ATAAACTGTGGCATAGGAACGAGCAGCTCAGCATTCTAGGGGGTTGTGTGACCGGGAGCCCTGGACCAGGCGCTAACCTGAGGAGAGGATACAGAAGGCCTCGCTAGGAGAGTTCTTGTGGAAAGAACGTTGGCCTGGGAGAACCAGATGCACGAGGGCTAAGGCCTGGGGAAGCGCCAGATAGATCCGGTTTCCGCGCGCGGACTCCCTGAGGGAGGCTATAAAAAGCACGCTCGGCGCACAGTCAGCTAGCTCTCCCGCCGCAGCCAAAGTCAAAAGGACGGGGGCCCCGCCCCTCTCGGCCCGAAACTTCTCTGGGATTGGTTGCCTACCCCACGGGCCTCCTCCCGTCCCGCCCCCTCCCCAACCGTCCCGGGGGTTGGCTGCCCGACCCGCAGCCATCCTCCAGGTCCCGCCCCACCTGCTGGGTCTACGCGGGTCGTGGGTCTCTGTCCCACGGAGTTGGGCGGTGAGTGTTCCCCTAGTCTGCGGTCTCCTGGCCTCGTGCGGCGGGGAGGGTTTCCAGCCGGTCCGCGGGGCCGGGTGGGGCTGGGCTCGCCTCGCGTCCCCTCGAGCTTTGCCCACCTGGAGCTCCGCTGCTCCCGGCGGCCAGAACGCAGGAGTAGAGCAGCCCTCGGCGGTCCGGGAGGGGACGGCAGTGCCCGTCTCGGGGCCGCGCGAAGCACACACACTGCGCCCAGCCTCCCGGAGGCTTCCCGGCCTGCTGGCCCGAGCGTGGTAACAAGTTTGCGCTTTGCTTCCCCAGGGCCAGGCCGCGGCTACTTTGCAGCGGCTTCGGGCCAGGCCCAGCCAGCGGCGGCAACAGCGGGTCTCGGACCGACCGTGAGCCTGGGGAGTTTGTCTCCAGCGACTGCGGGTGCAGCGGCCTGAGTTCTAAGCGCAGGTATGTTCCTGTCTTTGAGTGAAATGAAATGACGCGGGCTCGAGCACGTGGTGAGTACTGGAGGATTCCTAAGCACGTGTTTCCGGCTCTCCTTTAACAAAGGAAACGGACGTTCACAAGCAGAACAGCTGCTTCTAGTGGGTTTTCAGACTCGGTTAAAGAAACTGCTGAGGTCTACGGACATTGACGAGAGAGGAATGCAGGAAATCGTAGAGAAAGAACCCTGTGAAAAACCCAAGTCGCCCTTTCCTGTGCCCTTTTAAGGTTGACGCAGTGCCTTAAGAAGCTAACACAGAAGGGTAAGGAAAGTCTCCATAAAACCCAGAGAAGAGATTGTAGACCTCCTCTTTGGATCCTGTCTGGAGTCACAGCTGAACCAGAAGAAAATTCCCTTTCATTGTGAGCACCTTTGTGATATTTTTACACAGCTCCGAGCAGAAGTGATGGATTCAAACTTAATCTTAGCATTGATAGTACAAGTGTTGGTATTTGTCATTGAAGGCAGGGACAACCCACTAGAATGATATAAAGACTATAAATTGAGAACATCTAAATGCACCAGCTGACAAAGGCCATAAAACCTCCAGAGTCACACTTCACTGGGTAGAAACAAGAGTTACCTCCTCCTGTCATGAAATACCTCAGTGTATGCAAAAACTCACCCCAAATTCTTTGACTCAATTTTGTGCATCCCTTTCCCAAAGATGAACGATTATGCAAATATTTATGGGTAGCTGGCTCTTGCCACCAATGGAATACCAACTTTGCTGTCCCTGCCAAACCTTTATATGCCTTCCTCCCAGATATACCACAGAATCCTTTACTGAAGCATTGAAATTCACATTGTCCATCTCCTAGCCCTCAGATTACTCAGTTTTGACAAACCTTTCCACCTGTATTGCCATGAAAAGAGTGGGATAGATGCAGGTATTCCAGGACAACCTTTTCCCTTTCACATACACCCCGTAGAATATTTCTCATGTCAGTTGGACCCTATGGCAGCAGACATGCCCCTGTGCCTGAGTACATTAACTTGGCTGCCACCCTGATTCACAAGCCAGTAGCCTTACACAAGTTTCCCGTTTTCACCTTTTTGTTCCCATGCTGTATCAGTTCTTACAAGTCCATAAAACACAACACCTCTCTACTCAATGACAGACCACCTATGAACAAGCCCGTTAATTACCCCTCCATCATCTTGTACCTCTAATACTCGTAAAGCCCTCATGATAAAGAGCCATTCCACATGGTTACCTTACAACCATCGAGATGATTTCTAAACCACAGGAAGACCTCTTGGACATGTCCTTTAGCAAGCCAGACATGCTCCTCTATGTGATGGCTCTTGTAAACAAAATTTTCAGGGAAGCTGACTATCCCACAGCAAACACTTGCTGCATGCTGCCCACTAGAAAATCAGCCCAAGCTACAAAGCTCATAGCTCTTCCTAGGGCTGATACACTGGCAAAAGGGAAAGCTACAAACATTTATACCAACTAGATAAGCCTTTACAGTCTGTCAGGCTGTTAGCACACTTTGGCAGTTCCACAGATGCTTGACCCCTGCAGGTACTGGTACTTCCTACAGATTATTTCCCAGTGTACCACCCATAAATCTTAGCAAGTTTCTGGAGGTAACCGATGTAGCTCAGGGAGTCCTCCAAGACCCACACTGTCCTCCATAGCACTCCAGGTGGACTTAATAGACTTGCCTCCAGCCCTAGGCTCTTTTCACTGTTTAGTTATTGTCTGCATGTTTAGTGGATGGTCTGTGCTAGCCAAATAGACATACTGATGCCACAACAGTTGTAACAAACTAGTAACTTGGATTATTCCTTGTTTTGGCATTTCTTTATGAACTGAATCTGACGAAGGAACTTTTTTTTTTAATTTTTAAATTTTGCATACAGTTTTTAAAGGTTACAGTCCATTTACAGTTGTTGCAAAATATTGGCTGTATTCCCCGTGTTGTGCGGTACATCCTTATAGCCTACAAACCCAATAGTTTGTACCCTCCAGTCCTCCACCCCTGTATTGCCTCCCCCCACCTCCACTGGTAACCATTAGTTTGTCCAAGGAACTCATTTTACAGCAGAAACAGATCACTTGCTCACAAAGACTCTGAGAGGATATTCGTTAACATTTCATACTCCCTACCATCCCTTATCCTCAGGGGAAGGAAGACCTTAAAATGTAGACATAAAAAAGAATGCCAGGGGGAAAAAAAATTATCTAGAAACTAGACTTATATAGCTAGAAGCATTATCCCTGGCCCTTATACAGATCCAGGATACTCCAAATGGACCCCTTTTGAAATAGTTTTTAGTCACCCCAGTGCCAGCTGGCATCTCTAAACCTTGCATTCCTGGATTGGGCAAGCAACATGGGGACTTGAGTGAACCATTCAGTACTCTGACTAGTTATATACAAGAACGTCTGTACTTGGTGCATCTCATCAACAGTGAAAAAAAGCATGAAAAAAAGCATGGTCCTCACTGACAGGCCTTGCCATCCCTTTCTTCCAGGAGATGAATATATATCAACATTTTTAGAAGAAAACGTACATTGTCACCTTGCTGGGAGAGGCCTTAGGAAGTACTGCTAACCATCTATCCTGTCATCAGAATAAAAGTCCTCCTGGATTCACATGCGATACCAAGCTAGATCCATGTCATCACCCCCCACCCCAGGACAGTTAGAAGGCCATCCCTATGCGTGACCTCAGATTGAGGATTTCAAGAGCTTACTCAGGCTCCAGAAGCAGACGACACCACGAAGTAGACAGCTTGACCCAAGATCTCTGATCAAGAATTTTGTCTCCGTTTATCTTCCCTTGCAATCTCTGCCTGACCTGCAAAATTTTCTGACATAGAAATTGAAACAAAACCCTTCCTCTTTCAGTTACAGAAGGACTGACTGGAGGTTGCTTGTCTAAACCTGTCCTCCCTCTGTTCCCCCACTACGGGCTCCCTTTCAGACTATGTCTTGCTTCAGCGAATTCTTACTGCTTTTTCAACAGTTTTAGCATGGCCACAACACCCACTCACACCAATCTTTCAGACCCTGGCCACCTTAACTAATCGGTCTAATTGCTGGTTATGTTAGCGTCTAAGTAACGCACCAGAACCTGAACTAGGTTTTGTCCCTGCCAGTGCAAGCACCTGGTGGACCCATTCTGGACAGTGGATGTATGGAAGGCACTCTGCTTCCTCCTACGGCAAAGTGACTTGGCATTGGGGAACCCCCGTGGAGGCTTGAGGTCTGTCTGTCCTTTACTCAGGTGACGGTACTGGAGGGAAATTTTTCTCTTTGCATTGAAAATAAAAACGACACTGGACCCTTCCTAGGTAACATACCAAAACAATTCTGTAATCAAACACTGTGGTTTGATTCCACAGATGACACCTTCACATCCTCCAAAGACGTTATAAATGAGTTCCAGACTGATTATTATCATGATACAAATGTTTGCGTAGTCACTGGACAGTATTCCTGGTCTGCAGGCCACACAAATAGGACCTGGAACAGCTAAGCTGTTCCCCTGGTTGGTCTGCCTGATACCCCAGGCCACAAACGGGTCTACCAAAATTCTGGAATGACCTTTCTCGGTAGCTGCTAAAACCCGATTGAAGGTCTCCTCTTACCAGATATTTCGTAGCCTGTTTTGCTCTTACAGCCTGACAGAGGCACATGGGAAATGGAGATCGACAGATGCCAACATAACTAACGACAAAGGCCACCGTGGCCACCGAACTCCAACCTGGTGGGTCACAGGTTCCACTCTGACCTTGTTTGTGAACACCTCTGGTCTGTTTATTTTATGTGGCAATAAGGTATATAAAAGGTTCCCACCTAAGTGGTCAAGGCGATGTGGACTTGGCTACCTGGCACCTTCCCTCACTAGTTATCCCACTTTAAATGCTAGCCGGATTACAAACCTGGGCTCCTTCAGGCATAAAGTAGCACCATGTAGACGCATCCAACCAGACATTGTAGGCGAGCCACTCATGTATCGCAATACTGATTCAGTAAGGACCCTTTTTCCAAGGTTGAAAACTTCTGATCTAGAAGAAGCAATTCTGAACATTTCCAAAGTCATGGAACAAGGATTCACTGGCACCCTGCAGACCTTGAAAGCACGTCCGTCAGGGGTTAGCAGTTTTGCCTCTGTGCTCTGAAATCGCCGTCTCCTGGCTACCCAGGCTGCCCAACAGGGAACACAGTGTGCCATCATTGGCAGACAGTGCTGCTTGTATGTAAATAAATCAAAAGAAGTACAGGATAGTTGGAACCGTATAAAAGGACGGTTTGACATCCTACATAAACTGAGCGAAACACTGCTGATTAACTGGACTGACCTTGAGAATAAGAGACTGGTTTAGTGAAAGATGGGGCTGTGTGTTGGGATTCGCTCTTTTATGCGTATTCATCCTTGTTACCTGTGTTTTTGTTCGAAGATCTCTTACCTTCCGACTTCTAATCCATGTCTCCCCACAGCAATCTCCCCAGTTCCTTGCCTGTGAAACTTCATGATAGGTTATAACAGGGAAATGAAGGGACTAACCTCACCAAAATGGCATAATGACTATTGAAACTGAGACCATCTGAACAAACAGCAGCTGCTGGGAAAAAAAAAAAGAAAAACTCCAAAAAACCAAAAAATTTTCTCTGAACTTCCCTTTGATAAGTAAAGCAGGTCTTTCTAAGTATTCAGCTGCTGTAAGCCCTCTCTGGCATCAGGACCTGCCAAGGAACTGTGTAAACACATCCTGGGAGAACCTTCCATACTTTCCCACTGAGGCCTTAATACCTTTCCTCACCCCACCCCCATCCTATTAAGCTGGTATATAAATCCTTACTCCCTACAGCATGCTCTTGCCTACATGTATAATAATCTTGACTCCTATTAATCTGTTAATTCACAGGCCCCCAAGTACTTCACCCTAAGTTGGTAAAGAAAAAGTTTTAGTCCCAGTAACACTTTTTTTTTTTTTTTGCCGTGCGCGGGCCTCTCACTGTTGTGGCCTCTCCCGCCGCGGAGCACAGGCTCCGGATGCGCAGGCTCAGCGGCCATGGCTCACGGGCCCAGCCGCTCCGCGGCATGTGGGATCCTCCCGGACCGGGGCACGAACCCGTGCCCCCTGCATCGGCAGGCGGACTCTCAACCACTGCGCCACCAGGGAAGCCCCCATTAACACAATTTTAGACTTTTCTGGCTACACCAGAGAATGTGTTCAAATACAAGGGAATTTGGAAACGATTTTGTTGGAAGGTGAAAGAATCCAGTGTACATGTACACAGGTTCTGTGGAAATACTTTTAAATTTGTCTCAAACAGTGTGTTTAATAACTGAAAACTTTCTCTTTATTTCCCTAAGGGAGAAAGCTGTAGACCATTTAATCTGGGATGATCTGCTGTACTCTCCTGATTTCTGGTGAGCATTTAATCTATGGTCTAAAGGGTCGTTTGTCCGGTATGAGTTGTAGCTGTCTTATGACTTTGGGCAGCAGCAGCGAGGGGGGCTGTAGGGACCAAGTGGAGGTAGCATTTATCGTATTGTACGTGTCACTCTGTTGCTCCTGTCCTTACATTATTCTGTTTAATTCTCACACAGTGTTCTTCCCGTTTTACAGATGAATAAATTGCAAGGGTAGATAACTTGCTAAAGATTATACCATTACTGGGACTTCCTGGTGGTCCAGTGGTTAAGACTCCGCACTCCCAATACAGGGGGCATGGGTTCAATCCCTGGTTGGGGAACTAAGATCCCACGTGCCGTGCAGCACAGCCAAAAAAAAAAAAAGACTGTACCATTACTGAAAATAAGAGCAAGATGCAGAACTGGTATCTAATGTGCAACCTTACATAGAGCAGAGGAAAGAAGAAAAAGTACACAGTCTTTCCTTGGAGATATTGCGGGTTTGGTTCCAGACCACTGCAATAAAGGGAGTCGCACAAATATTTTGGTCTCCCTGTGTAAATAAAAGTTATGTTTCCACTATACTGTAGTTTATTAAGTATGCAGTAGCAACATGTCTAAAAAACAATGCACATCCCTTTATTAAAAATAGTTTCTTGCTAGAAAATGCTAACCATCACCTGAGCCTTCATCAAGTCAATCTTTTTTGCAATAGTGACTTCACAGATCACCATAAGAAATATAATAATAATGAAAAAGTTTGAAATATTGCTAGAGTTGCCAAAATGTGACACAGATGAAAAGTGAGCAAATGCTGTTGGAAAAATAGAACCAACAGACTTGCTCAACACAGGGTTGCCACAAACCGTCAACTTGTAAAATATGCAGTATCTGCAAAGTGCAATAAAGTGAAGCAATAAAACGAGGTATGCCTGTATGTATACGTACATATACTTACTCAGCTTTGCAAAAAGACAAACTGAAAGTTGAATATAAACGAACTAATGAACATTATAGCAAATTGACAACTTCACATAGAGAAAATTATTTCAAAAGTTATTTCAAGCTGTGCCAAAAAATGAACAGTATTCTGGGTACATCCTTAGAGGTGGTTTTATTGTTCATAGTGATATTGGTATCAAAAGAAGATAAAATATGAAAACTGTTCCAGTGGTACAGGGCATAGTAAGAGGGGGGCTCCTGAGCAGAAGTCCTCTATCTGTTCCTTTTCTGTGTGTGTAAGCAAACAGTAGGTAAACTCTTGCACTGAAACTAGAGAAACCATTAAAAGATGAGCGTTCAGCTTTCAGTATTGGGTATTTTGTGGTACCTGGATAGATGAGGGTCATGGGATGCTGAATTAGAGTGGCAGGAGTGTTCTAAGCAATTGGGGGAAGTGATTGGAAAAGAAATCTAGATTCTTGACACAATCTCAATTTTCTTCTGTAAAATGGAGAAAAACAGTAAAGGCTAGGTAGGCCACTACTGCTTTCTCCGTGGCCTTTTTCACAAAAACTGATATAAAGTTTATGGTTAACGAATTTCCTTTCAGGGGAAGATTGATAGCTACTGACCCTTGGAATTCAGTGCTCAAGGGTCCCTTTTAAAGAGGTTTGAGACACACTAGATTATAAACTTATTTGTATACCTATTGTCTGTTCCCTGGTAGAATGGAAGCTTCACAAGGACAGGCATATTTGTTGAATCACAATGAAGAGGGTTGTGTTGAGGATTAAGTAATGCATGTAAAGCTGACCTTGGGCATTGCTTAACTAAATGTAAGATGGAGCTCACTTACAGCCAATATGAGTAGCAGGTTTGAACTTTGGCATTGGTTGTTGTCAGATGTAAATTTCCAAAAATTTATGAATAAAATTGATTATATGCCATTTTGGAGTTCTGATCATGGCTTACTTTGTTTCCCTTTTCAGGTATTCGGGTACATTAGAAACCTTATGCATATATGCAAATCTACTTATTCAGCCCTTATTTCACACCATTGAGTTCTAACAAAGTTAGGAGGAAAAGTTGTGAAATGAAAGTGTAGTAATTGGAATGTTAGAAGATGTCTATTGGAAGGATAAGGTCTTATTCTGTCAACTGGCATGAGTGATTTTGAGGTGTGTTTAGCCACACAACATTGCGTTAAAGGATATGCACCTTTTCTGCTTCCTTATGTAAAGTTTGTAGGGCATGAAAAGTTATAGAAAATAGTTTCAAAATTATTAATGGACATATTTTTGATACTTGGATCTTAAGTTATTTTGTAGGACGGATACTCTCTTTCCATCATTTTGTAACAGATGGAGCACAAGATTAGTTGGCAAAAGAGTTTATTAGCCAACTGAAAAGCCTCAGATGTTTTAACAATTCATTGAATTATTTATCAACATTTACCAAGACTCAATGAAAGATGCCAGAAAGCAGGGGCCATTGTAATCAATTCTGTTAGAATTAAGAGTAATCCTTTGAATGATATTTGTTACAGTGATAGATGATTTGAACACCTTAATCCACAAATAGAATTAAGATGGGAGACAGCTTCAAGAAGCACTTGAATTGTGTTCCACCAGACTACCAAATAGGGGAGACTTATCAAGGCAAAAACTGCAAGGTTACAGTTGTTACGTAACTTGTTTATCAAGAATTATAATGGGAGCTGGCAGGAAGTAAGGGTGCTTGTTAAATAAGGATTAATTGGAGTCTGAAATGGTTGCACGGTTACACAGGGGAACAACCTTGAGATAAGGTTGCAGCTAGCAGATGGTTTAAAAACAGCTGGTGGGAAAGAAGATATACAGATTGCCAACAAACACATGGAAGGATGCTCAACATCACTAATCATTAGAGAAATGCAAATCAAAACTACAATGAGGACTTCCCTGGTGGCATAGTGGTTAAGAATCTGCCTGCCAAGGCAGGGGACACGGGTTCGAGCCCTGGTCCGGGAAGGTCCCGCATGCCGCAGAGCAACTAAGCCCGTGCACCACAACTACTGAGCCTGAACCCTAGAGCCGGAGAGGCACAACTACTGAAGCCCGCGCACTTAGAGCCCGTGCTTCACAGCAAGAGAAGCCACCGCAGCGAGAAGCTCACACAGCACAACAAAGAGTAGCCCCCACTCGCTGCAACTGGAGAAAGCCTGTGCGCAGCAACGAAGACCCAATGCAACTAAAAATAAATAAATAAATAAAAATGAAAAAAAAAAACTACAGTGAGGTATCACCTCACACCAGTCAGAATGGCCATCATCAAAATATCTACAAACAATAAATGCTGGAGAGAGTGTGGAGAAAAGGGAACCCTCTTGCGCTGTTGGTGAGAATGTAAATTGATACAGCCACTATGGAGAGCAGTATGGAGGTTCCTTAGAAAACTAAAAATAGAACTACCATACAACCCAGCAATCCCACTATTGGGCATATGCCCTGAGAAAACCATAATTCAGAAAGAGTCATGTACCACAATGTTCATTGCAGCTCTATTTACAATAGCCGGGACATGGAAACAACCTAAGTGTCCATCAACAGAGGAATGGATAAAGAAGATGTGGCACATATATACAATGGAATATTACTCAGCCATGAAAAGAAACAAAATTGAGTTATTTGTAGTGAGGTAGATGCACCTAGAGTCTGTCATACAGAGTGAAGTAAGTCAGAAAGAGAAAAACAAATACCATATGCTAACACATATGTATGGAATCTTAAAAAAAAAATGGTTCTGAAGAATCTAGGGGCAGGACAGGAATAAAGACACAGATGTAGAGAATGGACTTGACATGGGGAGGGGGAAGGGGAAGGGGAAGGGTAAGCTGGGCTGAAGTGAGAAAGTGGCATGGACATGTAATGTAAAATAGGTAGCTAGTGGGAAGCAGCCACATAGCACAGGGAGATCAGCTCAGTTGCTTTGTGACCACCTAGAGGTGTGGGTTAGGGAGGGTGGGAGGGAGACGCAAGAGGG